CCCACAGGTACACAGCCGCTAAGTAGTAAACAAAAGACCACATGTTGGTCTCACCTCTGACCCAGGTGATTACGCCCTCAAACAGGGAGCACTGAGAAAAATAATATTTAAATAATTTCATTGGTTCTTGCTAGGCATTTAAATTGGTTAATTAGTGGCATGAGACCTAAACGACCCATGCAATAAGACATCCGCCATGTAGGTTGAATGCACACGAGACGTTACTTGACCAAATAGGTCAAGTCGCTAATTAACCAATCAAAATGCTGGATGGTGTCCACGTGTTCAAATTATCTTGTTCATTTAAATATGTTAATGACAGGTCACCGACCTCATGGTGAACGAAACCCGGAAGAGATTTACCGATAATGTCGTGCGATCTTTTGGCTTTGATTTCCATGGAAAAACGACATGACTTTTTTTTAAATTAAGGAATTAGTTGTTTTCGAAAGATAAACTGAGCATTGAAAAAGCATTTAACAGTTTTTCGGTGATAACAGCTCATTGTCGAAAACTTGCGACGCATGGACGTATTCATGAGGAGTATTGACAAAAGTTGTCGCAAGAACAAAAGCAGTTTCACTGCGTGTTTGACATCCTAACGCTACTGAACAATAAAGAGGTGTGAATATTTGTAGGCACGTTGCTGAAACAAATGAATAGGATTAGGAACAATGTACCAGCTGGTTGAAACAAAGTCAGTCACGGTCTTGTTGAATTGGGGGTGCGGTTAGTAATAGGTACTTTTCATGTTTTCAATTTTTGTTGAGAACTCTTTAACACTGAAGCCGAAATCGGGGGTGGGTTACTATTAGGTATGCGGTTTATAATAGGATTTTAACGGTAATGTGCATTGCTAACAGCAGAGCTATCTCAGCCGAGAGGCTGCCTGTTCAGTAATCGTGTTGTACTGTATGGATAACAAGATATTACATGTACGGTATGTCTTGTCTTACAAACTGGATGTCATCATGTTGGGCTGAAATCATTTCTGAACTTCCATGACGACCGAAGATATGCTCGCTTACAGCAACTCGGAAACCCAACAAAACTGTTTGAACCTTAATTAATCATAAAATTTCTGTGGTTTTTTTTGCAGAGCCATCTTTCAGAAAACCAGTTGTCTATGTTGGAAATGAAAAATGAGGACGAATATGGCAATGTTGTGGCTGGTGACGATGAGATTGATGATAGACACTCCAAAGATAAAAAGAAAGGTATTTCTGTAAAATACTTTCTTTCAGCTGGAATTTATTTTCACTGATGTTTGATGAGTTGAATGTTCAATAAGAAAAAAAAGATATATTTGCTGGTTTTTATTTTCACTGAATCATCCCTTCAGCAAATATAAATTCAAGGCAATAATAAATTATTTTACAGTAGTCTAAATATGCTAGCTCAAAACAAAACTAAACAAAATAAATTACTTGTTTACAAATAATTCAACCACCAATGTTTTTCCAAAAAATTGCCTTCCAACAAATTTGTAAATATTTGTGTTTTGTTGCCCTAGACCTAGCATTCAGGTAATATTCTTCATGTCTTGCCAGGCTGGAAAATATGTTTAATTAAAACCCAGTGAATATGTAAAATTTAGCATAGAACACATTATCTAAATGATAAAACCGTGAATTTAAAACCCACTGAATATGCCTGAAATGGTAAATCTGTGAAATTTAAACCCAGTGTAGAAAATCAAAACCAAAAGTCGTATGTCGCCATTCAAGTAACCATTATTATATTTTTCAGGTCTCTGTGTTCTGCCAGAGAAGGCGTATATGAACATACAGAGTGTCCACAGTAATGAGAGTACTCGTAAAGATGTAGCGTCACAGGAGATTACAAAAACTCAGCATAGTAATACATTCTTATAAAATAAAGTGTATAAATCCACAGTGTTCATTTAGTGTGTTCACTTATGATGTTCTTTTAGTGTGTTCATTTAGGATGCTCATTTAGTATGTTCATTTAGTGTGTTCATTTAGCGTGTTCATTTAGTGTGTTCACTTAGAATGTTCATTTTGAATGTTCATTTTGTGTGTTCATTTAGAATGTGCATTTAGTGTGTTCATTTAGGGTGTTCACCTAGGGTGTTTATTTAGTGTGTTCACTTAGAATGTTCATTTAGTGTGTTCACTTAGTGTGTTCACTTAGGATGTTCATTTAGGATGTTCATTTAGGATGTTCATTTAGGATGTTCATTTAGGATGTTCATTTAGTGTGTTCACTTAGGATGTTCATTTAGTGTGTTCATTTAGTGTGTTCATTTAGGATGTTTATTTAGTGTGTTCATTTAGTGTGTTAGAATGTTCACTAGGAAGATTGTTACCATTGGACAGAGCTAACACTTGATTCACATAATTAATCAGTGGCTTACAAGTGTTTAGTGTTTCTTCCAATTTGAGATAGACATTGCATGTAAGAATTGCTGTGATTTGTATATCTGTTTATAGATAGAGTAAGTGAACGTATTGCAAATTTGGAAACAATTCGAGATGAATTGAGATCCTCCTCCATGAATGGTGAAGAATCATTATCAAGTAAGAAGCAACCATCAGTTAGTCATATGGTTATGCCTAATATGAGTAGAAAAGTAAGTGAGGTTATTTCTTTGCTCATTTCACACTCCAATTACTATTTGTATCTACATTGCCTATGAATATAATCACTGGTGATTATTCCTCATATCAGACAAAGTTTAAAATGTAATTTGGTTTCCGTCTGTCCTGAGCCTTTTCTCAGACATGCTTTTACTGGTCACATTCACATTTGAATTAAAGACATTGTATGATGACTTACATATGCAAGTTGATTTTCTTTACCATTTGATTTGGTAGCTATTTTGGTCCTCAAATTTTAAATTGAGATATTTGAAAAAGGCCTTTTTTTTCAACTTTTCACATTAATTGCTAATAAGTTTTGAAACCTGTATAAGAGATATCTCGACTGTGATGTGTGAACTGATACAACTTGGCATGACATGATGTGATGATCCAAATCTTTTTATTGTCACTTCTTTTAACTACTGAATATTTAGAAAACAAATTGACTTGTTTCATGTTTTTATTAATTAGGTATATTTCTTACAAGATGGTTTTTACAGGCCTCTTTATTAGTCCTCGTTCGGACGAAGTCCGAAAACGAGGACTTTATAATTTGGTCTCTGTCCGGAGTCATATCTCAGAATCCCTTGGACTGATTCCGTTTATTCTTTGCATGTGCCTAGTACTTTATGTGGGACATATGCACATGCAGTGGTTTAGCGATTCGATTCAAAATGGCTGACTGATTTATTTCACAATTGGATCAAAGATGGCTGACTGGCAGCCATCTTGTTTTTTGAAAATGTTTTATTTTGAACATGCTTTGTCAGTTTTCATTCAAACTTGGTACATAGATTATACATGTTAGGATACATGTCCATGATGATTTATTTCACAATTGGATCAAAAATGGCTGACTGTCAGCCATCTTGTTTTTTGAAAATGTTGTATTTTGTACATGCTTTGTCAGTTTTCATTCAAATTTAGTACATGGATTATACATGTTAGGATACATGTCCATGATGATTTATTTCACAATTGGATCAAAGATGGCTGACTGGCAGCCATCTTGTTTTTTGAAAATGTTGTATTTTGTACATGCTTTGTCAGTTTTCATTCAAATTTAGTACATAGATCATACATGTTAGGATACATGTGCCTGAAAACCATGAGTTCCTGAGACAAGTATGCCATGACAACCAACACAACCTATACTCTTTTTGCTCCATTAGAGGTTATAAATGGCAAACAAGGGTATATGGAACAGATATAAGACTTCTCCGGGTAAAATTAGCATAATTGGAGGGAGATAGTAATCAAAGATGGCCGAATAACGGCTGTTTTTATTTTTGGCCATATTACTACTACACGGAACACATGTTTTGATGTAAATAAACAATCTGTTGTATACGCCACTTGGAACTCAAGTTTCAAGGACACGCTTGCGACAACCCCTCCGCTTTAATATGACGAGCACAAAGAGAACTTTCAAAAATTTAACGCGGACTGTGTCATTTTCAATGACTTGTTTGATTGCTAAATTGTGTGATGAATGCTTGTGTATAATTCCAATTGCTTGTTCTTGTGATAAAATTGCTATGGTTCATAATATTTTTTCTAATTTAATTTATCTCTTTTCCAGCCAAGAAAACGATTTAATAAAAAATTGAGTCCAGGTATGTATGCTGTGGAATAAGAGACAAGTATGCCATGACAACCAACACAACATATACTATTTTTCCTCCATTAGAGGTTATAAATGGCAAACAAGGGTATATGGAACAGATATAAGACTTCTCCGGGTAAAATTAGCATAAGCCCCAAGTATGCTAATTAGCTGAATCATTAAAATATGATTAAAATTGAACATAGACGCATCTCTGTCATTTATGTAAGCACATATGCTGCTAATACAACGAATACGATATATGTATATAACATACATGCATACTCTAGGGTTTTTCAAATTTGTTTGGATATATATCAAAATTCGTGAAAATTGACAACACGCAGATCGAACTGCGACAGGGAATAGAACGGCAAATGAAAACATGCAACAGAAATAAATGAACAATATGCAACATTAGAAATAAAACAAAAATAATGTATTGCTTATAATGTGACAAATAAACCAGAAATAATAAAAATCGACAGTGAGGAATCATTTGAATTAGGATTTTCACGCCGACAAACATGCCCAATACGCGTGAACTCAAAATGAATTAAAAATGTCGGGTTAAACTGCAAAAATGATTTCCGGTCTCGACAAATTACGAATCAACTGTCATACAAGATAAATAATAATTTACAAATTTACACAGTAAAAATTATAAAAATTCATACCGGTAGCTGTTTGAAAAAACTTCTCAGGTCATTATTTGTACGTTCATTGCCATCTTTGCAAACTTAAAGTCTAAGTCGGCGTCACTGTGGCCATTGAACAAAATCCCTACAACTTCTTCCTGAAATTCATCGATATCGTCACAAACAATTTGGACTTGCATTTTTAATCCACGGATTTTGCAGTCTGTCAGCTTGGCACTTTTCATTCATGTCTAATCACAAGAAAAATGGGGTCGCTCTGCTGCAATGGCACGCGATGCTTTTGTTTACAGTCTGGCAATCATCTTTGACCTTTATGCATCTGATTTACTGATTGGCTAAGAATGACATCACTACTAGTATTTCATCATAAAGGTCAAATCGTGACATTGCTTTCTTACCAGACTCGATGCTTATCAAGTTATCATTCAGCAAGTTCTGGTGGTTGGAATGTCTTACTATATGGATATTGCGGTGTGCTTGAAATAGGAAGGTTTTTTTTATCCAACGACAGAAGAGTAGTTTTCATGACACAAATGCACTAGCGATGATGAAAGATGGTAAAAAAGTTGGCAGTCTTCGGCGTGACATTGCAAAATTGCTGGCCCCAGTTTTGGATTTGCAAGCTGCTACCAAATATTCTATGAAGCCAAAATGACGCGATTTCAACCACTCTCTGGGCTGCTACAATTCTGCAACATTGGTTTAATTGTTAATGACGCTACGGCTGACCGAGTGCGACACTCGCTTGCTTCGCGGCTCTCCTTATACGATTTGCTTGAATCGTTTCTAAGGAAGCACAAACCAAACGGGCCATGACATATTTCAAAAAGAGAACTACCATTTCTGCTTTAATATATATTTAGCTCCGCTGTCGACTTTGTTGAGCGGAGCTTATCATATGAGTGATTGTCCGTTGTCGTTGTCCGTGTCAATGTTTTACTTTTTCGACTTCTTCTTGAAAACTACAAGCCTGAATGCTTTGATACTTGGTGTATATGTACCTTGGGTAGACCTCTCTTAGGTTTGTTCATTTCATGTTGATATCTTCAATTCTCTAATTTTGGTGAATATTTTTGTCATTTTTGGTAAAAAGTGATATTTTTGACTTTTTGTTAAAAACCGCAAGTGCAATTGCTTTGATATTACATATATAGGTACTACATGTGGACCTCTCTCAGATTTGTTCATTTTGTAATGATATCTTTAATTCTCTAATTTTGGTGAATATTTTTGTCATTTTCGGTAAAAAGTGATATTTTCGACTTCTTGTTAAAAACCGCAAGTCCAATTGCTTTGATACTACATATATAGGTACTACATGTGGACCTTTCTCTCAGATTTGTTCATTT